CCCCACGAAATCACATTTTGCCCCCCCCCCCAGGAAAAGTCCTTTTTCCTAAAATTATACAAACAATCCAGCGAAGATTAACAAATAGATAAACGGAAAGTAAGTTTTAGGCTTTATCCTTTGTTCTTGTTTAACAAAATCGATTTAAATTGTTACTTTTTTACCACTAAGCCATGATAAATTATTGTTAATATTTTTTTTATTTTTTGGATGCTCAGAATGCAGGAAATAGCATTTCACGGTTTCAAATTTCAAAAATTTTCTTGGGATTATCCCTCTAATAAGTAATGATAAATTACAGTTAATATTCTTTTTTACTTTTTGTGCATTTTTCCATCTTTTATTTCAAATACAACTATAGTTAGCATAAATTTTAGAGGAAAATTGGATGGTCAGAATGCAGGAAATGGCATTTCCTTGGTTCAAATTTCAAAAATTTTCTGGGGGAGTACACTCCCACACACCTGACCATTGCTATCCTCCTCTAATAAGTAATGATAAATGATGGTTAATTTATTTTTTACTTTTTGTGCGTTTCTTCCTTTATTTATTTCAAATACAAGTATAGTTAGGATAAATTTTGGAGCAAATTTGGATGCTCAGAATGCAGGAAATGACATTTCTGGGAGTCAAATTTCAAAAATGTTCTGGGGAGTACACCCCCAGACCCCCCATTCATGCGTGGTATATCTGCCACACACGTAGCTTTCAGTCATTGCTATCCCCCTCTAATATATTATCTCACAGAAAGGTCCCTTTTTAAAAAGTGCCCCCCACGGGAAAATCCTTAAAAAAGGCCCTGCAGTCTGTATGATCATCTACTAGACATAAAAACGTTCCACGACACGTCGTTGTATAGATAAAGCGTCTCGTGTAGTCTAAATTGGAAATTTTTTATGCCAACACTAGAGTAATGGCATTTTCGTACAATGTTGAATTACATTGATCAACTGCTAAGCAGAGCAATCACGTATTGCTGTTTTCCTGATTAAATAGGAAAATATGAGCTTCACATTTACAAGCATTTTTAGGTCATTAAATGCTTATAGTTAAGTACAGCCGGTATATCTTGAAAAATAGATAGACATAGACATAGACATAGATACTTTATTATAGCTCCCTAAAAAGGGCTCTTCCGCTACAATTGATAAATACAATATATAAATAATATCTAATTAAGAACAAATTAACTCAATAAGTTCTTTCTGAGTTCATTTCGAAGTCTTTTCTTAAAAAATCTAGTGTTCTCAATTTCCTTAATATCAAGAGGCAGTTCATTATACAGTTTTGCCCCCCGATAGGAAAACATTCTTTGCCCAGTTGCAAGCCTACATTTGGGCAAATTTAAATCATTACAATGTCTAGTCGATCTGCTATGTATGGCAGAACGAGGCATAAACTTATCGGATAAATATGCTGGTACTCTGCCATGAAGGCATTTATGGACCATAACGGCATCATTTAGGAATAGTGTGTCCTTTACATTGAGCCATTTCAAAGATTGTATGCCTTCAGAAATATGGTCATATTTCCTGAGTCCCAGAACAATTCTTGCAGCAAAATTCTGCACTAGTTGCAACTTCTTTACATTTTGTTTAGATGTATTGCTCCATATAGTTGAGCAATAAAATAACTTACTGAAAACAAATACTTCCATCAGGAGGAGAATGGTTTTTCTATCAAGCAAATGTTTGATCCGATTAATTCTTGACAGTTTAAACATGCAATTTGAAACTAATTCCTTAGTATTTTCATTATAGCTAAGATAACAGTCAATACTAACGCCTAAGTCTTTGACTACGGGAACAGGATTGATCACCTTTCCTAATATCTTGATGGGTGGTATCGGTGGTAGGTTACGGATCAATTGCGAGACCCCGATTACTTGAACCTTTGTTTTTTCCGAATTTATTAGAAGCGAGTTTGCACAACACCATCTCGATATCTCATTTAGATCTTCATTCAAATCAGATATAGCGCTGCTAAGATCACGTGGTGGAAAGGCGATGAAAGTTTTTGTACATCAACATAACCCATAGATTTGCATCTTCTAGGAACTGACAGAATCTCGTTTACGTATACTGTAAATAAAAGTGGTCCCAAAATGGAACCTTGTGGTACACCCACAGACAGAGGCAAAGACGTGGAAAGGGTATCTTGTATTTTCACGGTCTGTGTACGTCGGGACAAATAGCTTTCAAACCAGGTTATTGCCGAGTCACCTGCACCTACTTTACGTAACTTGGACAACATCAAATCATGGCGAATGCTATCGAACGCTTTAGACATGTCTAATAGCACAACAACTGATACTTGTTTCATGTCCATATTCTTTAGAATTTCGTCAGTAAAATAGAGAAGTCCTGTTTCCGTGGAGTGGATTTTCCGATTTCCTGACTGAAATTGGGCAATTTTTCCGTTTGAATCTAAATATTCAGTGAATTGCACATGTGCTGATCTCTCAACAACTTTAGATATGATAGGCAGAAGCGAAATTGGACGTGTATTAGTCTGCTCATCAGGATCTCCCGATTTTATGCACGGTGTAACCTCCGCTCGTTTCCAAACTTGAGCAAACTCACATGATGAAAAGGAGTAATTTATTAAGTTTGTAATTGTAGGAATCGTCACGGGTAAACTGTCCTTTAAAATTCTAGCTGTTACTTTATCATATCCAGGAGCTTTATTCGATGGTAAACTTTTTATAATCCTATTTACATCATCTTGGGTCACAGAATGAAAGGTGAAAGGAGCGCAATTTACATCACTCATATTGCTATTTGTATCTTGATAATCACTGACACTTGTTGTAAAACCCAATTTTTCAGCAATTTCATCGGCCATAGCAGAAGCGTTTATCCCCACCGACGCATAGTACTCATTAAATCTGAATGCTTGTGTTTTTGGGTCTTCTGTTGAGACAAATTGTGGTTGTCGTCTCGGGAGGCAACGGTTTATAACTTTCCAAATAGAATTTGTATTACCATTACTATTATTTATTTCATTACATACATGTTCCTTTTCTGCAAATCGAATTTCGCGCTTCACCTCTTGCCGAAAAGAACGATATGCATTCCAATGCATTTTATCATTTGTTTTAATTGCACTTTTGTGCCACTTATCGCGTGTTTTTATAAGTTGCCTAATCTCAGGGGTAATAAAGGGATTTGGTCTCGACTTAATTTTAATTCGTTTTATTGGAGCGTGTTTATCCAGAACATCCAAGAATAAACAATTAAAAACCTCAACTTGATCATCTAAGTCGTCAAAACAACTAACCATATGAAAGGGAACATTTAGTGCCAAATCATCCACAAACTTTTCCCGGTTATAATTTTTATAGCTTCTGGTAGTGATAAACGTACAACGGGGTCGAGGAGACTTCAATTTTAGTATCAAACAAACCAAACTATGATCACTTAATGCCGCCGGTTTTACATCGCATGTATCTATAATATTGGTATTTGTAGTTAAGGCTACATCGATGAGGGTCTGAGAAGTATCGGTCACTCTTGTTGGTTCTTTGACTAATTGTGTCAGATTAAATTCAACACAGAAATCTTTTCAAAAATTATTTCACTGTGATCTCCAAGTGGCATTATTTAATTAAATTAACTGTTCTAGATTTAGCTACAGTTAGTAATAAAGATTGGCATTAATAAAATAAAACAATATATGAGTGTGGTTAACTAAAGGAAAAGCGAAACTAATCCAAGGTACGCAAATTGTAAATGTGATGCGCACTTTTTGTTTTGATAGGACTTGTACGACCATAGAATGATCAACTATACTAAATATTAATTTGACATCTCTTGGTATATTAAAATTATACACGACAGATTTTTGTAGAGAGACATGTAGGCCTAGCTATGATGAGCGTCTTGGTTTGCATAATTCTAACTTAGCGAAGTTTTTCCCAGAATAGTTTTTCCCAGAATCAGCGAAGGGAAATCATGGTGTTGCCTAATGAAATCAGAACAGTTAAACTTCGGACCGCAAAACTTATTTTGAACATTAAATGCTTCAGAATTTTCTAGGAGGCCTATCGTATGGCTTAATTAAATTATAATTTAGTCCATCTTGAATAAACATTAATGAAATGTATATTTTCTGTCATCGCCAGGGTGCATTGTTTATGTGTTAACGATATTGCTTGGTAATCCCGATTATAGCATTCACACAAAACACTCTATATGTCCAGTTGACAACAGGAAACACCCGTTTAGCATACACCTCAACGGGTATTACCCATATGTTCTCAAATGAGAATATTCGGTATTACCCGTGCCAGAACATCGCCTGCGCTACCTGACGCTGACGCTTTCGCACATCATTATATATAAACCAATCACAAGCGTCTTTCTATCACAAGTTCTTCTCGAGCCTGGGTGCTTCCATTTTCAAGGAAATTTCTTTTTCTAAGGAAATTCTAGTGTCGAAAAGGAAAATCTAAGGAAGAGAAAAAACCTAAGGAAATCTAAGGAATTTTTCCGAACAACTTAAATATTCATCCAAGTGCATTAGTGCAGAAGAAAGTTTCACTATTTCTTGAATTTTGAGTGAATCATCAATTATGTTTAATTAAAAATCTGTTTTTAACTTTTTCCTCGTGTTTCCGAAAACGTCTGAAAGTTTTTGAGGGATGGGATTTGGTAACTTTAGGCGCCAAACGCTGTGAATAATTAATTATTTATATCAATGGAAGGTATATGTTGTAAACTCATAACAAATATTTAATTTTAAACAGTATAATAGCCTGTGGTTTTTAGCTAGCCATCATCTTTGTTAATTGTGCTATTTTGTGCCTTTAAAATTGATTAAATCCTTTGTATTGCTACAAAAGCACTGCAAACCGCCTAATGAAATTTCAAGGAATTTTCAAGGAAATAACGTATACAATCTAAGGAATTTAGAGAAATTTTGATGACAAAAATGAGAAATTTTGATTTTGAAAATGGAAGCACTGCTCGAGCTTTGAGCTGCCATATTTGAAAACATTTCTAGCAGATTTTCTAGTCTATTTGCGATTCTGTGCAATGAAATGAAGATAGGAAAGAGAACTAGAATAAGCGACAACCAGAGAGATATTTTGGAAAGGTTTTACGGCCGTGGAATGGTCGGTGTTGGTCTAAATTATCGCGAATTGATCGAAAGCGCTGTAGCAGAAACTGGCTTAACAACGACTCAAGTTATAAAGGTAAATATAGATATCATAGTGATGTTAATGTTGACTATTTACTATTAAAGACACTAGATGACATACAAAAATATACTAATGTAAACTAGTATCAGGCCTTGCTTGGATGAAAACCAAGATACTTGATCAATAGTGCAGCTACTGTGCATTCAAGGCACTATTTTCTATGCACCTACTTAAGCGAGAGTCTACTTCGTATATTGTTATTACATGCCTAGTTGACAGTCTGAACTTACTGTAACATGCATGTTTCCCCATTGATGAGTGAAATTGTCTGGCGTTAGACAAGTAAAAAAAAGTAGAGGCACTGGGGCACATTACGTCTCAATGGGTTTAATGCACCTATCGATTTTAAGCCCCAGAGGGGGGGGGGGGATCGGGCATAGGTGGGGCATTTGATTTTTCGAGCACATTTTCAATCAAATGCCCCCACCGTCGGGCAATAAATATTGGTCAAATGCCCCCACCATCTTGCAATAAATTGCAATAAATACTATGTTAATAACAGTCATTCGGTTCAAATTGCCCCAACTCGGGGCCAAAATGCTAATCAAAATCCCCAGGGTGGGGATGGAATTGATAATCAAATACCCCACATATGCCAGAACCCCCCTCCCTCTGGGGCTTAACATTGATAGGTGCATAATAACTAGAGACATTGTCAGATTTTTTGGTTAACCCCTTAAAGTGCAGAGCTTCCCCATTGGCATTAGACAAGCAAAAAAAGTAGGGTGCACTGGGACGCATTGCGGCTTGATGAGTTAATAGGCATGCACACACAATCAAGCGCCTTCCTAGGCTAGACCTGTAGGGGTGCACTAGAAACCACTTTTTAAAGTTCTGGCTGGAACTGGATCTGGCCGGAACTGGAAGAAAGTTCCAGCTGGAACTGAGTCATATATGGTCATATGTTACTTTTTCTGCTGCCAGACAGTCAGACACTCGGTCATAAAACAGAGAGCATGCAAATGTTAGAATAAAAAGATTGACTATTGTTAAACAACATAATGAAGTGTAAATATCCATGTGTTTGAGTCAAAATAGTATAAACATTCGAGCCATTTTATAGTCAATTGAAACCATTGTTTTACCTTAAATGAATTGAAAGCTCAAACCTAGCTTATATATCAAACATATCCGACTGGATATTCTGGCCGGATAGCAAAAAGCTCTACCTGGTTCAGT